CTGCAGCTATTATGATTTCAACCATCTGCCATTTCAACGTAAAATGGCAATACTAGCCGTAACTACCGAACGAAAGTACCGAACAATATCTCACAGCCCTCTTTTGTCTACTAAATTTGTCCTTTCAACATTCGGATGGCTATTAGAAACAAATGGACTCAAATACCAATTATGTCTGTCAGTCGAGACACGAGGCGAGTTTTTAAAATTATTCTCTAGGAAATTGTGAATTTTATAGTGGATAAAATTTTATAGTGGTTTTTGCTAGCAGATTGCTAGTATTTTTTGTACTTCTTTAATTCTTCAGATATGAGGTCTGAGCATTTTCTATGCGACCTCTATTAGAAGCAATTTTAATGTTTCAGTGTTAGTAAATTTTATAATTATACATTGGAGAAAGTTCTCTAAGTAGAACCATCTTCTTTATTCGCATATAAATTAACGTATGCGATATCCTCTGGCACGAGCTTATGATCCATATGTTGTTTAGTGACAGCATGGAAATAGAAGATTGTAAAAAAAATAAATAACTATATTGATGATTTTTTTTTCATTTTGATGTGTCAGTCGATGAAAATTTTTCTCCAATTTATAGAAGCTATGATTTTTAACTGGTAGACATATCTTCCAGAGAGCCCAAGAAGAAATACGAAATTTTTTAATATATATATCAATATATACCTATACGTACTGTAACCGGTTTTTAGATAAAAACTTTATTTTTCCTGATTGAAAATATTGATTTTAGTAAGGAGATATTAAACAAAGTAACTTTAAGAGAATAATTCAACAAAAATTTATTTTGTCCATTTCTGAAAGAAAACTTTTAATTCATTGCTCACCGCATTTTTTACAGATACATGGTGTCTCCAATGTACATTTTCTGCAAACATATTTCTCACATTTGGAACAGATTTTTGTGGCTTTACAATACTTTACTTGACGCGTTTCACGTTTATAAGAATCTGTAGTAGAATTAGTCAATGTTCCTTCCGTATTTGTTCTTTCTTTTTATTCTTCCCGAGCTTCTCGATAATCAGCGTACGATAAACAAGTACTATTGTTAACTGGAGTAAAAAAATCTTGTCTCCATATATTTTCCCCTGTCGTTTCCCTGCGCAAAATCTAGACATTTATGTCAGCTAAATCAATTGAAAAATACTTGGACAGGCCATCTGCGAGAATTTAGATATGCTATATTTCCTCGCCATTTGATCGGTCATGTCCACACCGAATTTAGTTTGATTGTAATATGAAACGGTCTGAGGTATACATTTAACATTTTTTTCAACTTTTACAGATTTATATTTGAAGCTAAGTAAAAGAATTTTTTTCTTTGGTTTACTTTTATAAATTGTAACAGTACAATTATCTTATTTTATCAAAACGGATAAATCTGAGAATTTCTATAAAACAATTTCTACTCATGGTTTCTGAGGAAAATTTAGGCTTCTCTGTTTCATTCCACAAAAAAGAAATTTTTTTGCTTCATATGCACGTCGTGCATATGAAATTGCAAAAAACGCATCTAATTTCGCTCGAGGTAAACTCCATTCGACACGTATCGCATTCAGATGTATGCAGCTACGTATAGTTGAGATACTTGAGTCCAGAGCTAAGGTCTCCCAGACAGAGAAATTTAGAAAAAGAAATAAATTCGTCCACCGGTCGAATGACCGGTCACGGTAAACAAGTCAGACGATGAATTTTTTCCAGTAAAAAAAGAAGCCCAAAAAAAAAAA